AGGTTGATCATTGCCCGAATGAAGGTTCATCCTCCTGTACCTGCCAATCAAGGGTTTATCAGTATCCGATTGAATATTCATCCTCTGCTACTTGTCAATCAATGTTTTATCATTGTTCGAATGAGGGTTGATCATCAGCCATTTTTCAACGACTGGCTCATCATCTTCCACCCTGGAAAGGTTCGTATGATAATTAACTTTGGTACTTGGGAATTTAATGAATGAGCCTATAAAAGAGCTATGCAAATAATTCAATCTTCAAGAACTCATTGATCAGAGATTTTTGTCAAAAGAAGCATATACCATAGTTCACAGCTTATTGCAATGAAAAAGAAGTTTCTAAGGCGCTACGGTAAGTGATCCAGGCGTTTTTGAATGGTTGAGAACAAGCTATATACTGTTTGAGACAAGAATATATTAGTATACGGTTTCACATTTATTATTTTACTTTTCTCGTGAAAAGTTTATTATATTCTAGAATAGCGCTCCTCTTTTTGGTTTTTATGTGAAGATCTTATCATCTAGGCGAAGGTGTGATCATCTTTGTATGTCATTGTTGGACTTACCTTAATGTGAATGACGATTTATCTTTTCCTTGCTAAAGTTATGAACCTTACCAAGATGATAACACAACTTCGGAATTTGCTTGTTAGGACCTTAAGTTTCAGTTGTTTTCTATCAAGCTGCATGCTTGTATACATTCATTTAAGGATTTTGTGATGGGAAGGATGCGAGCCTTTTTTCTACCTTTAGATAGATGCATTTTTGTAGTTAGTGCTGAATAGCTCATCTGCACTGTGTCACACTTAATGAAAGACTCAGTTTCACGTACGTAAAATCTATTTTCGCAACAGTGATAATGATAGTATGCTATACGATATAGTGTTAGAAAAATTTGATTTTACATGCATGGCTTTTTTCAGGCATTCGAGTTTCCATTCGCTGTACCATTATAAAGTATAAAGGACAACATCACCATCTATGGGTCAATTCAATCATTAGATGTCGTGTGTATAACTCTGATTAATGGACTATTCAATGGAAGAAAGAGAATTTTCAGTTTAGTTGCGTTGTGTTCCATTTCTTTCGCATCTTTCCAACCAGCACTTGTTCTGGTAGTTATAGATTATTCGAGTCCATAATTTTAGATAATTTCCTCTATCGAATCATGAATTGGACGTGTGAACAAGTTATGCACTGGTGCAAATCATTTATTGACGATACTACAATTCTGTCTCAATTCGAAGGTCTGGTTTATTAGTTTATTTCAGAAATGCATGTTTTCTTGGTCAAGTATGACTCATTTTGTGTTGACACCGCTATCGAACATTTATGTTAGAATTGAAATTCATGTATCTCTATGCGTAGCAACACTCGCTAATCTATCTGTAGGCGTGAGTTCTCTTAAGTTTATTCGTGGTACAGTAAACATATGTAGTTGTTCGTAAGAAAAGAATGGATTTGTTTACAATTTTGATAGTCCAATGATTTTATTCGCTATGCTTCTGTTAACACGTTCGCTCTTACATTCGCTCGTATACTAAATACAAAAACAATACTATTCGTATTTTGTTTACACAACTATTCAACAGTTAGTTGAATTCTGATATAACTTTGACTTTCAACGTTTCAATGTCTTCATTTATCTGTCCGTTTTGTTTGACAAATCGTAGTTTCGCGAGTTTTGGCAGAATGTTCCACCATATCTCGCTTTATCACCAGAGTGAACCGAATTTCAATATGACATGTGACTTACATGAGACATGCGGGGTATTGTATCGAACATATTCGGCTTACAAGTCTCACGTCTATCGACAACATTCGTCTGAACTTTGTGCAAAAGGCAAACTAGATACGAATATCACTCTCATTGCTTATGATAATCAACAACAAGCAGATATGGAATATTCCGGTATTAGTACAGAATTAACGAGCAGCGACAGTGAGTCGTTCGATATATACGATACGGATCCTGATGTGTCAGCTTCAACAAATGATGGTGACAACATGAAATTTAACAATTTTACGACATCTTTTGGCCCGATTGATAGTCATTCAACCTTTGCTGAACTATTAGCGATTATGAAGAAATCTTATATCTTGTTTCTGTTACAGTTACGTGAGGAATATTTGGTGCCAAAGACGGTTACGAATGTCATTTCTACCTACATTACCACATTCCTTCGACATTTAGAGAACATATTCGAAAAAAAATCTTTTTATCATTCTCAAATCGATTTTTCACATTCAACATCTTCTGTACCCAAACAAGATCGAAAGATAATCGAATTTGATCAATTGCAGCTAACGTTAAATGACATACGTGTTGAAATTGAATCTGTTAGTAAAAATGATTATCAATTCGTCAAAAATTGCGAGAAATATTTCGGATATAGTTCGGCAGAGGAGATAGCTTTGTCATCTGATGATGAAGCGCCGGAATATGCTTACTTTATTCCGTTCGATAAAACATTGAAAGCCATGTTGAAATCTCCACCACTTGCTTTAGAAATTCTAGAAAACATTGATCAACAGCAATTAAATGTAGCAAACGATTATGACCTAATGTTCTCGATTCGTGATGGATCCTATGGGATCAAAATAGATCAAGATAGTCTACTAGTCCAGTTGTACATCGACGATATTGGTTTAACGAATCCTCTTGGTTCCAAGCGAGATAAACACAAAATGTCGATGGTTTACTTTTCGCTGGAAGATGTACCTGACAAATATAGGTCGAAAATTGATTTTATTCAATTAGTAGCTGTTTGCGAAAGCAAAGTGCTAAAAGTAAAGATATTTTACGAAATAAACTTGATAACCGCCTAAGGAATCTACGAGCGAGAAAATTTGTTTTGATAGTATCGATGTACTACCATCCAACGATAGTCAGTGATATTAACTATAGATCAAAATCTTTGATAAGGTCGAAGCTTAGTTGTCTTTATTCAAAAAGCAATAGAACATCGATTTGTTTGTAACTTTCTTTTTCTTTGTTTGAGAATGATGTCAAAGCCCAACGCTTCTTTAAACCGATAATCGACAATCTCAATCAGTTACAACTTGATGGCCTTTCTATCAATGATATTCATCTAAGATTTTCTTTTTCTACGCTCGTCGCGGACAACCTTGCATCACATTTCATAGGTGCTTTTCAATCGTGCTTTAATGGTGGATTCTTCTGTAGGAAGTGTTACATAACATATCCACAGAAGAATCTGCCAATACCATTGTCAGAAATCCAAACTCGAGCAATCATCGATCATGATGACCTCGTTCAAAAGATTGTGAGTGATCCAAATAGAACACCTCTCAAGGGTGTTCAAGGACCAAGCCCATTAGAAGATCTTATCGGTTTTCACGCAACTACGTCTTTGCCACGAGATGCAATGCACGACTTCATTGAGGGAGTCGTACCAATGGTCATCATGGTCTTACTCAAACAAGCTTCATCATCACGACTTATGACCTACAGTGAGGCATTTTTGTTAGTTTTCACACATTCACGCTAGATTCCCTCAGTTCATATCGATCATTCTATTTTATATTTCAAACAGTTCGAAATTGCGTTTCTCTGGGCTTCTATAAGTTCACAATATGACATTAGATATTTTCGGAAAAAAGATTTGAACAGAATTCTTTGTATTCGAATTTTAATCAGTAAGCCGAAAGAGAATTTATATCTTTAGGGATGTTTATAATCCACTTAGATTATCTTATTTTTGAGCGGTAGTTGATTTCTATGAGAAACGAATGATTAAGCACTTTCCCATCTTGTTTTGAGCGATTATGAATGCGCATCTAAGAGCTATTTTCTTCTCATATTTAAGCTCGTGTTCAAGAACGAATGGAAACTTTTAAATATGGGCGATTCGATTGTGACAATCAGCCACCCCCCGTTCTCGCGAAACATTTTCAAAATAATCATATCGTTGCAACCGCTGCTCAGAAGCTTTGTTTTTTCAAGCTTTTTCCTATTATGTTCTACGATATTATTGATAGTCTACCATCATTTATCGTATATAAATTACTAAGAGAAATCTTAGATTTGATCTTAGCAAATCCTTTTCGCAAAGCATGGCTGCCAGTACTTGGTGAATTATGCGACACATTTTATCACGAAATGCTAAATCACTTTCCCGGCATGATTACGCCAAAAGTCCATTTCATTCGCGAATATCATCAGATGGTGGCTGATTTCGGTCCAGCAATCAGACAGTGGTGTTTCCGTTATGAAGGATTCCACGCATACTTCAAGAAGATAGCCAATAGGACGAACAATTTTAAAAACATTCCCAAGATGCTTGTGACACGTTACCGTTTGAAACAATGTTTAACGTTTGGTTATGCACCCGAATTACGTCGCTCACAGCATGTAATAGGGATTAAAAAGATTCGAAGCACATGTTTCAATCTAGCAATGAGAAATCTTTTAGTGAAACATTTCGATCAAATTGATTTTGAGAATATCTTTCAATGTAATGCATTAGTTTATGAGAACATTGAATATCGTCGATCTTGTGTATATGTTGTTGATCTACAACCATCTCATGAGCAACCGTCGTTTGCCCAAATCGTATTTATTGTCAAAATGAAAGAAAAATGGTGGCTATTAGTTGATATGCTTGATACAATGTCGTACAATGAAAAACTTTTTTCTTGGCAGATACAATCGATGGATCACTATTCTATTATTGATCCACGTGAACTGAAATATTACTACAAAGGATTGGATGTTTACGTTGTGAATGACTTAAGCTTTGTTTCATTTGTTTCTCGTCTTACTTGGCATTAACGATTAGTCAATTCATGTTTCGAACATTTGTTCCACTATAAATTTTGTTGCAACCTTTCTGCGAAATTTGATTGGTGATCTTCTGCTCTAAAATAACATTCAGTAGCAGAAGAAGACGCGAAAAAAAGAAGAAATTGATTAAGACTCACTAATAATCAACGGTTTACGATCACGTTTTGACTGTGTAGAGACATTATGCGTTTGAAATAATTTCGAACTCTTTTTACGTGATTGGTTTCTCAGATGACCAAGAATACTTGACCCAACTGCCTTAGTTTATAATCAGCTCTCTAAAAACAGCATTTCTGACATCTTTAAGTTGTTTATTATGACTTTCATTTCTTTTTCTAGAGCACGACGTGGACGGTGCAATGCTTAAAATGCTGAACAGTGTTGAGAGAATATCGCCAATTATTCCGAAGTTAAAGCAACAACTAGTCTTCTTAGAAGAACGTGAAAAGTTGTTTCGACAAATAAATGGTAATTCGATTGCAAATGATGATTCGTTTTCCAATACATCTTCGATACCTAAAACACCATCATCTATTTCCACAAGTTCTCAAATAACACCTTCTGCTTCGACTAATCCAACAACTATCAATTCATTACTAACATCCGTTGATAACTCAGTATCTCATCGATCTGTTAGTGATCCAGAGAATTTCCATCTTTATCAGATGTTTATCAAGTTCCACCGTTACCAAACGTTTTAACAAAAGATATTGAAGCTGGAGTTCTCAGTAATTTTCGTCCACATTGTCAAGGCCGGCAGATATTAGTTGATGCGGTCGTCCATGATCTTGTTGAAAACTACAATCTGTTGTAAGTAATTGTTTATCACATTCGAGCACGTATGCGTTGCTTTTGCACATATATTGGTACACGAAGTGTTTCTTTATTCTTTTTCATCAAAAGTTGACGAGAAATTCCCAGCATAAACTTCTTTATATATTTACCTTATCAATAATTAGCATTGAAGTGCTCTAACAAAAGAAGTTGGTTATTCAATGAGCATTCTTTTCGCTAAATAAATCTCGACTATAGATAGCTCTTGGAGTTGAATAGCTTTTTCCTCAGTTTAATTGACGTGTGTAGACTTTTTCAATCTGAATTACTGTTAGTTTGTCTTCCTAGGTATCCAACAAAAGCACAGTATCATACTATTGGAACAGCTCTCGTCAAATGTCTAAAATTGCCTGTGACACCGGAAAATTTAGTAAGTCGATCTAATCATTGGAAAATAATTTTTGTCTTTTTCGATATAAGGGAATATGGAAAGATGCTTTACAGACAAAGCTGAAGCGAACACGTACTCAACATTCTGGTATTGATCTTGTTCAAGAATTTCGGTTAAAATACTCAAAAATCGGGTCTGGACGTCCAGTCAAGCAGAAAATAGGAGAGGTTGCCGAACGTGACAAACACAAACAGGTAATCAATAATGAAATATAACATATTTCTATACTTTTGTTCTAGCTGGTGTTGATTCCGTACGATGAAATTTCAAATGACATTGACACAAAAGTTGAACAATTGAAAAACTTGTCACAATTCGATCACAATACTCAGTTGCGTTTGTGGAGAGAGACCTTTGCTCGTCGTCGACAAACTGTAAGAGCTGGATCAACAAATGATATTTTGAAACAATTTCCGGCTTACAGTAATGCTTTCTTTGTAAGTTAATTTACAACAAATTGCTTTGTTACATAAAAAGTTTCTTTTTTATCTCAGATCTTCGATGAAGTGAGAATGCTGGTGAACATTGATCTTAGTAGTGAAGTTCGACGACAGATTCCTATTTTGTTGGACAAGTTACTCGAAACTCCTGTGTTTGTCACTGGTGAGTTCATGATGTTAAATGTATATTAATCGACAAGATATGTTTTTAGATTCGCCTCCAATTAGATTGATCAAAGCTTTGTGTAAATTGTTTGGGGAAACTACTCAACATTTATTTTGTGATAAAGTAAGCTTTATTTGCTGTGCTGAAAACTGGATAGCAAAAGATGAAAAATTAGTTTGATTTAATGTAAATCAATAAATGATCGACTTGAATAAGCAAATGTGTGTAAATAAGAATTAAACTTGCGAATCTTCTGAAAGTATAATCAGTCCAATCGATTCTGACCTCTTTGTAATTCGCTTGCCTCCTTGACTTGTTGCATAATCTCTACTCATTAAAACTATTCACGTTGAAAACTTCTATCGACGTGTCTTTCTAATAGCTGCGATATCCGAATACTATCAAGTTGAAAAATTTCAATCTAATGTATCGAAGAGATCGAAACACATCTGAGATTATTTTTTATTTATCACCGCACATATTCACAATAATGAACTTTCAGGAACCTCCAACGCCGTATCCAACACTGGTGTGCATGGATGATCTAATCTACGTATACGTTGATTTTCTTCCAATCGTATCAACAAACTCACCGGACGATGCATTGGCTCTTCTCGTTTCGATGTATACGATTTTCGAATTATCATTTGACAAAAAAAGTCGAACCATCCGTTTGTTATATTCTGTGTTGCATGGGGACAAGCAGTTTCTCTCAAATTCCGTTCGATTGCTAATCAAAGAGAAAAGCATTAACATTCATCGAGAACGACCACAATTGCCATCAACTTCTCCCGATTCTTTTCGAAATAATCCGACAACAATTAATACTACACCTGTAAGTCGAACGCAAATGGATACAAACGTATCCGATAATCTTACTGCTGAACATGCTTCTGTCACCAGCCGAACAAAAGAACAAACAACTTTACCTAAAGATTCTCGTTCAAGTGCAGATATGGAGTCTGATGCAAACAAGTGAGTTATATATTTGTAATTAATTGATCTTGTCTTTACTTAATTTTTTATATGGATACATCAGCAACGATGAGAATGATGTATTCTCATCATCGGCATCATCGTTCAGTCGTAATCCTATTCAACGTCAAGCAAGAGAGAGACGAAAACGAAAGCAGAGTCTTGTCGAAGACGAAGAGATTGATACATCTACGAACAATTCTGCTCGAGAAGATCGCGAATTTTTATCGGTAGATCATCTTCCCATGAATGACATTACAAATTCATGCATTTCGCGGCGTTATTCAAGACGTAAACGACGTGCTTAGTTTTTTTCTGTGTTCAATATGTCCAATCAGAGATTTTTTTCTCTCTCGTTCATCTTCTCAAAGCTTCGTCACATTTGATTCGTTCTCTCCTCGTCTTATTATTTTCTTTCTACTTCTTTCTCCTGCGCATCATTATGTTTCTCACTTTAATTTAAAATACAGTTAAGTTGATCTAATTATCCCAGCATTTCTGTTTATATGAGTCGAAAATGACTTACGTCAGCTATTATCTAAGGCAATTTCATAAATTCTATTCATTACTTCTACTCGACTGAATTTATCTCAAGGAATCATTTATTCATATGATAAGTATTGACAAAAGATCTTTCATCGATTGACTAATCAACTGACTTCAAACTTTATCTCACCAGACATTCATCAATTGGCTTTTAGTGAATTTATTCAAGAGCAGCTTCGCCAAGGGTTAGTTTGTTTTAACGGTGCTACTAAATTGTCTCAAATTAGCTCCATTTCTTCAATATTGTTTTTATTAAATTTATCAAATGTGGAATTACAGGCAAAAATACTTTTCCAATTCTATTATTTGCAGCGATTGTTGAATATTTTCAGACTGGTTCTTGATTATTCGTCTTTGTTAGCTTCAACCAAAGATCAACATGGTGAGTAAGAATTCTTTTCAAAGTTTACCTCCTTCTCCTTCTTCCTAGTTATTCTTTTACGCAAAACAACCACCTCAATCCAATTACATTGTTATGGCAGAATGTATCTCTTCTGCCATAAGTATGTTCTCTGGCTTTTCACTTTGTTTCATTCTGTCACGTTTTGATATGTTTTGTTCTGATACTTCGGTTGAGTATTTAAAGGAGTGAATAGAGAGGATAAGGGAGAGCGCGAGAGACATAACAATTGGTGCACTGGCCGGTTTCACCATCCAACTTTCACGTTGGTGGATTTTTAGTCTATAGTTTCAAATTTTTGGTATATTCATACATAATGAAATTTAAGTACCCCGACGAAATCACTTCAACTCCTCTCTGGATTCGTCATAAACTACCTGTGCATGCCCCACTGCCACCAAATGAAGATGCAGATTTATGCCGATTGATTGCCTCACAAAATGCTGGTTTAAGTGGTGAGATGATAGAGCACTATGTCTCTCAAGAACGTGCTCGTTTGAATCTTAAATGGTGTCTCGATGAATTTTTTGGCTTTAATGTCGATAAACCCGTTTTAGGACAACTTGTTGTCGCTAATGTTTTTGGTATTGTTCATCTTGCTTATATTATTGAAATTCATTCTACCCATCTGATGGTTCTCTCTGCTAATACTCTTGCAGAAACTTTTCTGGTGAAATATGATGATATTTATCGTGGTGAATATAGCCCATTCTATGATAATTTTTTATTGAATCAACGCAGTCTTCATCCACAACATGTTCTTGATTACGTATTTAACTCCAAAATTACAGTTCACTTACAGTCAGACAATGTCACTATTCCTAATACGTTATCTCTGGATCAATATATCGATCATTATTTAGAAATGGAATGGCCAGCAGGTGATGAAACATGGGATTTTCCGGAAGAAATCTCCCAATGTGATGAACAAGTTCTTTGTGGTGAAAAGTCGTTATCAAACAGTTTGATTTCTTACGTTATGAAATACCCAATGCTTCAGACAGTATCTTCTATCGAATGCGTCGCAACTACCTTTATTTCAAATGTAAGTGAGCATCAGTTATTAATTGATCAGAATTCAACAGAAGAAAATGCATCTTCCCTGTCATATCTGATGTTACAATATGCCTCAACACAACAAGTTGTCACTGATAAGTCAGTCTACACTGAAAATGCGTTTCACTGGTTTAATTTGTTACATAAAACTTCATTGCCACATATATTATTGGATTGGGTCAGCATTAATTTAACTATTTTTCTTTTGATGCGTATGATTTTTATAATTCACGATAATCATCTTTCTTATCTTACTAGCAATAATCAGTTTTACACCGACAAATTAATATCATCGCATAAAAACGATTTTGAATGGTTTCGTTCCTTAGCAGTACCCTAATTAAAATTAATAGAAAATGGCTTTCGATGGAATTTCTTTCCATCGTATAGAATCGGATTGGCCTTCGGACTCGATATCTGGTTTTTAAACTACAATTTTTTGTGTAGCTTTCTGTCTTATTTTTTTCTTTTTCTTTCTTAATCGTTTATGTGTTGCGTTCGTTAATTCTTTTCTTCGTGAGGGGGAAGTGTTATGGCAGAATGTATCTCTTCTGCCATAAGTATGTTCTCTGGCTTTTCACTTTGTTTCATTCTGTCACGTTTTGATATGTTTTGTTCTGATACTTCGGTTGAGTATTTAAAGGAGTGAATAGAGAGGATAAGGGAGAGCGCGAGAGACATAACATACATTTCGTTCCAATCTATTAAACAGCATGTCATTTTATGCTTCATTAGTTGCTCAATACTAATTACGTCCAACGAAAAGCCATGTAGTGAGTAATATATTTCTTTTTCCAATAGCTTGTGTCATCTGATCTGTTTAAGTTGGCGAACTAGATAAAGAGCTGATAATCTCGCTTCCAATTGTAATATTCTTCGGTTCTGACGTAGTTAGCTTGAGATCATACATTGATTTATCTCATACTATCCTTACACACGCACACCCTCAATATATCCTTTGTAGCACTATACATAATAAAACTCAGCATCGATTGCTCGCTTTATTTTTCTCTCCTACAGAAAATTTCATCTTTTTGTTGAACAGATACTTCTATTGTTCTTGTTTCTTTAGAAAAATCATTCCATTCCAGCACTATTGATTCACTACCAACAACTTTCCACTCTACGAAGCGTATTTCACACAATGAAACGTCCCGCAAGTTTGTCAATAGAAAAATTTTAAGTATATCATCGCATCACTCGCACGACTTCTTAAGAAAAACACAAAAAACGTTCTTCGTCTCCGTTCTACCGTTGTCATCTGTCGAGGTTAGACTTTTTTATTCGTTCCTTATTTTAATCATTGTTTTAGTTGTTCGTGCATCGTTCCAATCAAGGGCTACCACAAACTTATATCATCACCAATCAAAGACGACAAAATATCTTTTCCGATAAATCAATCGATTCAAGCCACTATCTAAAGCTGTTCCACTAGTTCATCCAAATGATCAACGACCTGCAGTACCAATGGATCAACCTGTTGGTGGTTCATTGCGACGATCAATCGTCGACAATACCGATGGATGAACCTGTGGGTGGTTCATTCGAACGATCAATCGTCGGCAATACCGATGGATCAACCTGTTGGTGGCTCCTTCGAACGATCAACGACCTGCAATAGCCATGGATGAACCTGTTGGTGGTTCATTCGAACGATCAATCGTCGGCAATACCGATGGATCAACCTGTTGGTGGTTCATTGCGACGATCAATCATTGAAAATACCAATGGATGAACCTGTTGGTGGTTCATTGCGACGATCAACCATTGGAAATACCGATGGATCAACCTGTTGGTGGTTCCTTCGAACGATCAACGACCTGCAATACCCATGGATGAACCTGTCGATGGTTCATTGGGATGATCAATCGTTGGAAATACCCGAGAATGAACCTGTTGGTGGTTCATTCCAACGATCAATCGTCGGCAATACCGATGGATCAACCTGTTGGTGGTTCATTGTGACGATCAACCATTGGAAATACCAATGGATCAACCTGTTGATGGTTCATTGGAATGATCAATGGATGACAATAGTGGTTGTGTAAAAGTATATCATGACAATATATGGGTTGATGAACGGATGCTCGTATGAGAATGATCAGTTTTTCATTTGGTTCTACCCTTGAGTGAGGTTTATCAGAGTGCAACGTGTCACAATCCCTTGATTGGTTTTTCAAAAAGAAAAACGATCTGATAAACCTTTTGATGTATGATTATCAAGCGTGAAGAACGTTTGGTTTAGCTGAAGCAGTGGGTATAGAAAGGGGTTTATCCGATTCTGAAAAACGTCTGAAAGGGTTTGTGATACGTTGCACTCTGATAAACCCTTTAAGCGTTTGTCAAAGAGCGGATTTTTTTTTCAGTGTAGCGTTAGATTTGTATTTCTCATTTTTTCTACAAAAGGAAACAGTGAAAAGAAAATATTTTTTGGTAGAAGAAGAAAGCTCAATGTAAGAACCGTTAGCGGTGTTTAGTTTGCACGACGTCTTTCAGAAAAACTGACAAGAAAACGGATGCTCTGCAAGTTTAGAGACGTTTTTGTATAATGGTGTTAAGCGATCCTGAAAATCTCCCAGAGATACATGATCTAAATATAAACTATTGGTTTTTGTGTTACTGATAGAGCTTAATGAACTGTATACAACAGCGTGTAAGTGAATTATCTAGCTTTCGTGGTTGTCAAGGAGATGAAGAAACAATCTGACAGAATGTCACCACGTCATGCATGGGCAGGCCCTTATATAAGTAGAACAGTAGGACGCTCATATGCGTCAGCTATCCGGAAAGGACTAATATACTTGAGATCCCTCTTGGACGCCTTTGTATTGTCGGCGTCCGAAATAAATAGAGAAAAATCTAGAGCGAATATCTCGACGATGGTGAGAGCTGAAAACTTCAAGTTTTCAGTGCGTGAAAGGGCAAGTCCTCGGGCATATTTGTGTCTAAAAGTCACTTCTCCCGCAATGCTTCTTCGCTGAGAGATTTAGTTCGATATTTTGTTCATTACCGTTCTCAGTCTTTGTTAAGACTATTTTCAACTCTAATTTCACCAAAATCAAGCCTGAATCGTCTTCTATCGGCGATGAAGTCTTCACATTTTGTCATCGTTTCTTCAGTCTATCTGTTCGCTGTGAAAACTTCCAAATAAAGTCTATTTACTGCAAAAAAAAGCGCCGATTTGACTGTTTTTTTTGGTGAAAATGGAGCTGAAAATAGCCTGAAAAATGACCGAGAACGGCAGCGAACAAAATGCCGAGTTAAATTTCTCAGCAAAGAAGTATTGAGGAACAAACGGTTATTAGGCAAAAATGATGTCCCAGAATTTGCTGTTTCATCTCCTGAAAGTCGTAGGTCTCCAGCTCATACCACTGTTGGGATATTCGCTTTAGAGTTTTCTCCATTTACTTCTGGCGCCGGCAGTAGTTTAATAGTTTTCAATTAGATAAATATAGATTTATCAATGTGTGTAGAAAATCGTTTTCTTCGGCATTCTATGCTAGTTGAATCTGAGAAAATCCGTTAAGCTAATCAATGTTTGCTTTGAAACATTTTCTCACAATTCAGCGATCATGCTAACACTAAATATTGAGTGCAACAGATCTTATAGCAACTGGCGGGATCTTTTGGTATATTATGATTAATCGCTTAATACACAATAAGACATGAAATATCGGTAATTTTTTGCATTTGTAAAACATTTGATGACACAGATAGAAGAGTACTTTAACCATACTTATGCTCAAAACACAAGAGGAAACAGCGGATTAGGAGTTTAAATAATCATCTAATCACTCATAATCAATACTAATCGCATATAATCAATAGTAATCATTTCTAATCAACACTAATCACTTCTAATCAATACTAATCATCCATAATCAATTGAAGTCGTTTAAATTTGACAGAGAGACTTTATTAAGCACACCGTTCGTTTCTGTGAAAGCATGGGTTAATATATTGTCATAAAGAAAACACTTCAAAGTGTTTTCCTCTTAACGAAGCTATAACTTCTACCACATAATATGAATGGCAGAAACTAATGTGCCATATAAAACGACGAAAGTTACTTGACATTATTCTACCCATGTAAAAAAATACACGAGAAAACCTGATTTTAATCGATTTTCTTATGATGAAAAATCGATTTAAATGACACGATTTTCATCTGATTTTCATCAGATTTTGAATCCAAAAAAAATCAGTTAAAATCGGTTATTTTTGAGAGAATCGTTTTTAGCAGGTCTGCTTTTCATTATCTAACTTCAATTAATTTGTAATAAAAAAATCAATTTTAATCGTTTTTTTTCCTAAGTGAGTGAGTATCAAACTATATCATGACTGTCACTATCTCNTGGGTATAGAAAGGGGTTTATCCGATTCTGAAAAACGTCTGAAAGGGTTTGTGATACGTTGCACTCTGATAAACCCTTTAAGCGTTTGTCAAAGAGCGGATTTTTTTTTCAGTGAATACCAATTGTAGGATATTGACTACCACTAATGAGATTAGTTACTTGTACAAATGGTGTTAAAACAACTTTCAATATCTCGAGCATCTTCGAGTCCGATTGATTTAATTCAATTGAAGAAATTTTATTTGTTTGTTTTGTATTTAAACCAATATCATGTTTTTCACTATTTATTTTGTTAATAATTCTTTTGTATATAATCATAACTTCAACTAAATGTTGAGTTGAACTCCACCGACTTTTACAATCCATTTGAAGTGAAAGATTAATACCAAATTCTTTCTTTAAATTTGATATATAATTCATTAAAATTGAGGATTTATTCATAAGTTTGACCATTGATCTACATTTTTTCATTAAAATTCCAATATTTTGTTGAATTAATTCTCCAATAACAGGATCCAGTTCTTCAATAACATCAATTGACCAATTATCAATATAATCAATAAATAAACCATTTTGTTCTTCATCAACAAAATTCTTATTTAAAACAACATTCGAATTAGAGTTGTTATTTAACAAATTATTAGATTCATCAAATGATTCATCAGATGTTGGATTTAAATTTGATGAATTATCAACTGGTAATTGTAAATTAACTTGTACATCGTCGGTATAATCTTCTTCATCGGAATCGATATCGTTCGGATCTAAATTCGAAGTTGCTGTTGTGCTGGTGGTAGTAGAAATACTTGTTGATGATGATGATGCTGGCTTTTTACGAATCCATAGACCAAGACCGTTGCATACCACCAGATGAAGTCGATGGGCCACACCTTAAATAGTATTGTAATGAGAAATTAAAAAAAGAAATTATATTTACACCAAATTTGTTTTGAATCGTTGGTAAGTGATCCACCTATCTTCAACATATTTGCAGCACCATCAGTTGTTATTGAACGAGTTTTTTCCAATATATTCAATTCTTTAAGTTCTTTTTTGATAATCGTACAGATATTAGCAGAAGTGTGACGATGGTGAAACCAAGAGAAGGCAAGAACTTTAGAAAGAAATTTATTACTTGATGTTATGTAATGACCAGTTAAACATAGATATGAATAAAGTCGCTTGTCACTCCAAAAATCGCACGTAACTCCAATAGAATTGATTTTAGATAATTGTTTGATAAGAATTGATTTTTTATCACAATGTAAACGCTTCAATCGTGTTTGTACTGTATTACGATGAGGAGGTGTATAAGCTAAATTAAAATTTAAGTAGATATGATGAACAATTCATATTTCACTCACTGGGTACCAAATGATTGATTAATTTCAAAATACCTGGTCGTCGCATATCATCAAAACTACGGCCATCACGAATGATACAATTAATTACTAAAGAATCGATTTTCTTTTTTTCTTCAGTTGAGATCTCATCTGAATTTGTTTGTAAATTTCCAGTAACAGTACGAAAAGCTTCTATTTTGTGTACTTGAAATAAATGTTTTCGTAAACCACTTGTAGCACCATTTTGTCGACTAAGCAGCGCCTTGCATTTAAAGCATCGAGCTTTTTCTTCTTTTTCTTTTGACATATAATCCCAAACTCGAGATCCTCGATTGTGATTAGATTGGGATACATTTGTATCAACATCCATTTTATTTATTGATGTCGATAGATTGTACGTGTTTGTTCAAATCGTTCGATTATTATTTGAGAAGAAGAACGAAGCAACTGATGTTAAAAATGATTGAAATATCACGATGAAAAGGAAACACTTCCACAGCTTTTACTGAGATATTTTGGAAGAGTTATGATGAAGATAAAAATTTGATTGACGGTTAAAGAGAAAAATCGCTGTGATATTCGAATAGACCAATCAGAAATGAGAAAATCAGAATGTAGAATATACGCGTTCTTAAAGTAGAAGTAATTTTCAATGGACATTCAAACAAAAGATTTCGTATTCAAACTGATATCTCAGAAACTTTATAAGCAGTTTTCCAGACAATATCTGATGAGGGATAGGTGCCACCACTGATCTATACTACACATATCCAAAGAATTTTTATAATGTATCACATCATTATATAATAAGAAAAGGTCATTTACATCAAATTTTAAAATTGAAAATAGAATTTTGTGAATTACTAAGCTCTGTATAAGATCTCAATAATTATCTGTAAATAGAAGATTTACGAGTAGCTTTAGGATAGTGTCTGGTAAAGAAAAAACATGAAACTGAACTTTTCTAGAAAATTATTAATACCAGTATGCATTTAATATCATTTTCTATGTTGCAATTCATTGCTACATTTTGTTCTATACCTATTATTATCGAATTATTTGTACTTCAAGACTTTGCATAATACTAGAGTTTAGACAAAAAGAATAAAGACTTATTGACACTAATCTGCCTATCAGCACTTTCAACAATCTTTATAATACACGACATTGATTTACTTTTTGTGTTTATGTAACTTTATCGGCAGAAAGATCTCTCAAAACTTTTGACTTCAAGGCATTTATTTCTTTCTGGACTATTTCCTAAAGTCATATTCTATGTTATACATGTTTGAGCATTTTAGTCTTTTTTAAGAATCATTGACCTTTTAGTTTCATAAAAAATGAGATCAATGATCAAAGGTGAAATTTAAATCGAATTAATAATATTTATCGACTACCAGTGTTTGATACACTTTTATAAATAAGTTTTCACGAGCTTTAGCATATTATTTTAACTATTAGTTTTGCTCTACTACTTAATAATATCATATTAAAATATATTTTCAAGAAAGTGAAGGAAAATCGGATGAGTTGACAACTTAAAATTTATATATATTTGTGGAAAAGTCATTTAGTGCAGTAATCTTAGACAAATAATGTATACAGCTTTTCAGAGTACAGTTATTCAGGAACGGATAAATAATTAGCAATATGACGGGGAAATTTGGTATTTCTTTAAAAGTTAATACAGTATTATATCTCTACTCTGAAACTATCGAATAATATTAATTTTCTACAAACTGATGTTATTTTATAATCTTTCACTCTTTGGCAAATTCGAAATCTACTATATTTAGTAGAAGAACTGCATGCAATAAATTTATTGAATTGAAGTATTTCGTCCTTGAAAATTTGGTAGTAAATGCATTGCATCAAAATTTCGAATGCTCTGCTGGTTTTGGTTTTGGATCAAAACCAAAACTATACCAAAACCAAAACCATCAAAACCGAATCCTGTACCAAAACCAAACCTTATATCAAAACCAAAACTCAAAACCAAAAATCAAAACTAGTTTTGGATTTGGTGCATGCCTAGTATTGGAAGTATTGGTATTGTGACATCCCTAGTCGTGACACATAATATTTTGAAAAAACTATAACACAAACTGGATTGAAAGGACCAACGAGTCTTATATCTATTATATATATATACTAAATACAATATATATCAACAACTGTCAAAATTCAAATGTAGAAAGCCAATCAGTTGTCGATCATGTTTCACCTATAGATGACAGCAGAAATCAGCCTATTTCATCTTGTGAATTTGATATCTCGAGAACGCTTAATGATAAACTAGTGATTTTTTTGTTTGGTAGTGAGCATCAGTTACCAGAGTATACTCTGAAAATTTCATTAAGATTGGCTGAGAGGAACTGGAATTATTAAAGTTTTACATATAGGAACACGAACGGTACAATGAAATTACAATTCACTCACATACATGGTACAACTGCAACTACTACTCGTTTTGTTCGTAAATCATTAATTATATCTTCATTGAGATGGGACTCAGCACTATCAACTATTAATAGCTTTGGATGAGCATCTTTTACCTAAAGTACATAAAATAACCAATTCGTTTTAGCTTTATAAGTTTCTAAATCATTCTTACTTTCGACCACCAAAGCTTTGTATATTCATTCATCACTGGTCCGTTGATTACACCTTTTGGGGTAAAAAAAACTGATACTCCTTGTGCATATTAACTTCTCTCATTTGACGATACACGGCCTTTACCTTTAAAGATAAGAACAGGTCCGAATCGAGAATTGTCTTCACCAAACACCATTAAAATTAACGTTGCAAATCGTTTATCACTCAAATTTCCTTCAATATCATTTGGTGTATTAATGTCATTAATACTTCGTTTCGATTGATCACCGAATAAAGCAAGTGGACTTTCATCCATGTTACATATGTCTTTAGGTGTGAATACACCCATTGGTCCTCTTTTTGGGGCCCCATTTACTTGCACGACGTATGTAAGAATAAAATGATGATACACGTTCGCATGCTTCTGATAAAGAGATCTTTTGTTGTCGTTTTGGTTTTTGTAATGATAAACGATGACGCGTAAGAAATCGATAGAACCATTTAAACGACGGTGTATCATGCTTTAATTGGAGACTAATTTTTGTACCTTGTCGCTGGAGTTGTTTGAACGTGATTTTTTCACGCCGAGTATCTGCAGGTGGTACAATGCAATTTGGATCAACTTTTGTTCGACGTTTTCGGTACCATGCTAATAGCAACAAGTCAAGTTCAACGTATTCGAGTTTCTTGCCTGCGCCACCAACTCGTCGTCTTTTTTTGCCTGAAATTAACGACAAAAACAATTATAAATAAAATGAACTAAAAAGGCTTACCTTTTTTTCTTTGGAAATGTTAATCAATTTTTCTTCAGCTGACAACCATTTTCTTAACTGTACTGTTGTACATTGATGATCTATAGCTGTTTTATGTTTACTTTGATTTAATTTAAATGCACTTATAGCACGAAGTTTTTCTTCTATTGACCATTGACGACGTTTTCGTTTCGAGTTTCCAGCTGTACCACCACTGGATATAGAATCATTGGTTGCTATTAACGAAGAATGAGATGAAGAAGATAAAATAGATACATTTGGTGGATAATATTCAAATGCTTCATCGTCTGAGCTAAATTCCAAATCATCATTATCTAATAAAGAAATAGTACCATTATTAATAACACCACGATCAAAAGCAGCATCATTGGTACAGCTGAACGAAGAACGAATATTAACAACAGCATCACGTGTAAAAATACAATTGTTTTTGTCATTTGGTAACCCATCAATATCATCATTGTTGTCATTATTTTGTGATTCGTCGTCAGAATCAAATTGCATGTTTTTGATCATATCAATAATATTGTTTTCTTCTTCATCGACGTTCGACACAACCTCAATCGAATCGTCATCGTCTGACGAACACTCAAAGGCGTCATAACCATCGAGAGGAAACAAATGTACCTCGTCGTCGTTTATCGACATGTTGATTTCAATTGAATTTAGTTAAAGCTACACTATTTATACAATCGTGTTTTCGTCTATAGTACGGAGGAAAAAAGACTATTGTTTGTCTTTTCTTTGTTATTTCGTAAAGCAGACCGTGCGCTTCTTCATATTTCTTTTTCATTTTGTATTATAGAAATAACTGCCTGATGTACAGTGAAAGAAAAAATTAGATACAGAACATCAAATAAAATACAAACAGAAGGAAAGAAATGAAATTTACACTAAAATAGAAAATCTAAACGTTTAACTACAGTTTTTAAGCATTTTTGTATGAAGGATCTTCTATTATGGGGAGTCTTGTATTATGGGGTGGTCTTCTAAACTGGGGAGGGGTTTAATTCCATCATCTCTTATCAATACAAAATCAAAGTAAAGAGAAAATTTCTCTCTTTCGTGATCATTAATGAAACTAAACATATTCAACTTCAGAAAAAAGGCATTGCACAACAGCTCATTTAAAAACTTTTCCTTTCCATAAAATTACTGACAGTCTATCTCTTTCAACACAGAAACATTCTATAGACCAAAACTCTCTCCCATTGTATAATCATAGCGTTCTACTTAATGACATCATATTTAACTGGCTTACTGCCGTTTTATATATTGATTTATTACATCATATTTAAGCAAATCGACATTCTGATTCGTCAATTTGTAGTCTTTTCCCTTCAATTGACCATAAGCTATTATAATGAAGCTTTTCAGAATCATAAGCAAGATGTATTTGATTGTTATTTGAAATAAAAATGGATGGTTTGAAAAGGATTGGACGTTGTTCAAATTGATGAATAATAATTACTCGTTGTAAAAACATTGCAGATGCTATTATTACGACAGCATCAACGAATATTCCACTTTGAAGCATTTTATAAATGAAATTTGCCCATGATAAATAATAATTATAATCAATAATTTGTTGAAACTCTCCTGCATTATCATTCATAAAACCAATAATAAGAGCACGTAATAAAATATGTCCACCTTCTGAATTACATATCTGATCACTTAATGCTCTAAAAAAGCAATTTCCATCAGATTCTACAAGTGCCATAGCCGTAACCAAAGAACATCTAGACTTAAAATCTAGTGCGCAATGTGATTTGTAATATGAATTACGATCATCTCGATTTTTATCTTCCCTGACATACTAAATCATACAACATAAAGGAAGAACAATAATTTTTCTCGTAATATCGAGCATATGCGGTTGTTTTATACATACTATCCGATTATAATCCATTCTATTTATTTCATGCCGCTCTTCAGCAGGTAAAAACAAAATTGAGCCGTTGTTCAACTTTGTCCTAATCAAATGAATAACTGGACACTCATCAAGATTTTGATAAACAGTTTTTGACTCTTCTTCATGTATATAAATCGTAATTCCATATACTTCAACGATTCTCATCATGTCCAATATAAATGAATCAAAATTGTTTTGAAATGAGCTACAAATTTCAATATATTAGATAGAAAATATTTTAAATATAGAATTGTTCAGCTGACCAATCTTTCTGCTCATTTAATACACATGTAATTGAATCCATTTCATCTTCATTATCAAACAAACATGTAGATAATGCTCTTTCGATTGAACGATCAATTTCACTAATATAAATGACATGCAATCCATACTCATAAAAAAGACGTTCCTCTATATGTTTTATTTTTAATATATCATTCCAATGTAAGAACATGAAAAAACTATTCCGTATTGATTTTCAAACTAAAATAATTTTCTGTTGGAAAATCTAAATATTTATTGCGCAAATTTCTTATTTGATTTCATCTAATTTGATTAAATTAGTTTTTCTCCATTCTTTGAAATTTTTTAATAAAAAATTCGATAAAATGAAACGTGCAAATACCACCAGTGAAAATTCCATTAGTATCAACAACAAATCTAATCTATCAGTTGAAGGAGTAGTTGTAGCCATTAGCAATATGACACATAAACAAAACCAAAGAACAACTTCATTTTGGACTGCATTATTATGTCAGTCAGATCAGAACATCATCCGAATCACCAAATACTTATCATGTAAACGCAAATGTGCATTGCATGAAAAACTAGTTGAATTTTATAATAAACAAGATGCTTGTCAACTGAATAAATTAAAATTCAATACCGACGACAGTTATACTGCAACCACAGAAACAACGGTAGTAGCCAAACAAACATCAATTAAACCGACTTGTTTAGAAGTCATTCCACTTGATCAAATTGAAAGTAAATGTGATGGTGAATATGGTAGTTTTCTCGCTAAAATTCTTGAAATCGGTTCTGTAAGTTTAATCTAGTTTCGTTCATTAAAACTTTACATTCTAATTCAGGATGAAAGTGTAGTTTTTAATAATGCAAAAAAACGAGTTTTGAAATTGAAAAGAGCAATTCTTGTTGCCGATAAAACATCCTCCATATGCATGAATATATGGCAAGATCAATTTGATTTGATCAAGCAAAATTCAAGTTATAAAATTAAATTAGCTAAAGTGAAATTGTTTAACAACGAACTATCTATAACAACAATTAGTAGCACAACGTAAATATTTTTTTCTACTGTTTTACATTACTATATATTCATATTTCTTTCACATACCCCAAGATTTGAGGAAATTAACGACATCGGCAATGTACAATCATCTGAAATTGTTGAACTTGATCATGATATAAATATAACTGGAAATATCGTTTCAATCGGTTTAATCGAACAAAAGCCGATTTGTTCTAAATGTTTTTCTAAAGAAGTCGAAACAACTGAAAAAAGTGTAAAATGTAAACAATGCAAGACAAGATATATAACGAAAAACGATGTTCAAGATAATCGACTAAAATTAACTATGAATACGCCTGATGATGAACCAGTAGAATTGATTATTGAAAAAGAAAAAATCAAAGAATTATTAGAACAATCTAATTATGATTATTTATCTCAACAGGATCCATTGGAAAACGAATCAGTTTTATTAACATTGTCATCAATCAATCTTTCAATTACGTACAATTCAAAGAATAAAAACATCATAAATATTGCAACCTATGATACTCGATCTTAAAACAAAATTCATAAAAATTTTTCCCAATCCTTTTCAAGCTTTTCCTACATTCTTAACAATGAAGTCCTTTTTTCTCTATAATAAAATATAATACTCGCAACACCAATTCATTTTCCGTTAATTGACTAAACAGTTTAATCTTTTATAATCTACAATGAAAGCTCCATCCTCACACTGTTAAGTTTCAATCGATTAGACGCTGTACATTGAAACTAAATTTTTTTCTTCAAAAAACACGGATACAGAACATTTGCTGTATTAGCCAATGGTCATTATCAAATGAAAATTTTGCGTACAAATCTTTATTATCATAATCACAACAGATCGATCGTGTTTCACATTTTTAATCCCGAAAGGGATTACGCTGAAAGCTTTTTGATTCATAAATAACGCTCGTCAGTGGTGACTCGCATTACCCTCGACTGAAAATATCACAATATGCAATATATTATTATCAATTTGATATTTGTTTTTCTTTGTTTCAGTTAAGAAAAATACTTTCTAATATAAACTGTATTTATTTATTTCTATATGCAGTAAAGACACACTAATGATATAATGATCAGCTACACAAAGGAAAAGAAAAAACAAGTGAATATTGAATGTAAATGAATACAAATCAGACAAGCTAAACAAAAAATACATCTGCGGAAAAA